TGCAACCCATCCCCAGATAGCTGGGATCTTAGCGCACAAAAGTACAAAATAGCGCTCAGATCCTATGCACACAGTCCAATCGCCATGGAGTTAAAGTGTTCACAAAGTCTGTTCTCGATACGAACAGACTCCACGGGATGGCTATCTGGGGTAATGCTGTTCATACGGTTTAAACTACCGAATGAACAGGCATTCGGTTAAGTGACCGAATGCAGAAGCAAGGAGGCTGACAGCTCAGCGGTGTTTGCGCAAATAAGTAAAACCAGAACAATGAGTGAGCGCTAAATAACACAGATTAGCAGCAACCTTATAAGGGAATCCCTCAAGAACCCTTAGAACAAAACACAAAAAAGTAAAACATACAAGAAAGGGCTGCGCTTGGATAAAACTGAAAGTCGAGATAAAATCAATGGATAAAAAAGAGAAAGTCTTATCTGGCAATGTCCGTTGAAATCGTATTATGTGATGGTACTTGGTCCAAAGCAGTAGTCTTGCTTATCTTCCTTATGGACCGTCTCATATGCAAGAGATAAGAACAAATACAGAGCCAAAATAGTGTAGTAAATCTTAAAAAAAGGAAGTTGAAATGTAAAACTTGATTGCAAACTCACATTTAAAAGAGCTAGAACCCGCTCTGGTATAGAGGGCGTACAGCGGTTTAGATCCCCGCTTGTAGGATATGGAATGACTTTCCTTCGCGTACTTCCTCCTTCCGTAGTATGAAAGACACTCGAATAAAAAGAGACAGCCAATAGTGTTCTCTGCGTAAAACTTTGAATAAAATGTAAGAAAATAAAAGTGGATACTCACAAGACAGGAGCAGATCAACTGCTCCTGATAGTTCGCGTTGGTGGTATAATCCCCACCTAGGATTGCTTGGAGTCCAGCGAATAAAAAGGAATGATGCCAGGTAACAATAATAAATATATGTGTATAAAAAGATAGATGGTACGATAAAAGGTTACCAAATATACTTTAATATTTAAAATGACACAATATAAAAACCATAAACGCGTTTCGCCAATCGGTGTTATCAATATGGGTAAAGAACGGAATAGACTCCACGGGATGGCTATCTGGGGTAATGCTGTTCATACGGTTTAAACTACCGAATGAACAGGCATTCGGTAAAGTGACCGAATGCAGAAGCAAGGAGGCTGACGGCTCAGCGGCTCAGCGGTGTTTGCGCAAATAAGTGTCCGTTTACAGTTCCACAGTTTGGGCGCTGAACACCGCTGGCCGTTCAGGACTTTAAAATGGCTGCCGCCACATGCAACCGAACAAAGGCCACCCAGCATTCGTCAATTAAGCTGCAGTTAACCGCAGCTTCTGGGAGGTTAATTGCCGACACACTCCAGCTCCCAGGTGGTCCAGTCATTCGTGCGTTAGTTTGGTAGATTGAATCTACCGACCACCGGGCAGAAAGGCACGAATAAGCATTTTCTGCAGGGGAAAAGAAGTCTTTTAACATGGGGCCATAATCGAAGGGCAACAGGCGAGCAACCAGGCTTCTCCAATGCAATGTGGCGAGATTGGTCTCGTCACAACATGCATTCACCGACCGGCACCTCACCGTATACTGTTACCTCTGCTTGCCAACGTAATGTTCACCGCTTGATCGTTTTACTTTATCTCTGTCATGCTCTCTATGTACGCTCTGTTTTAACACTCTCATGAGACAAGACCACAGGATGGGCACTTACAAGGTTTACCTCGCCTGCTCTGCACTCAAGCCACATAGGCATATACTACACCCAAACATGAAGTCTCTCTTATTCAACTAGACCCCAGTGGTCTCACACTTAATACCTAGTTAGCGCTTGACACAGCAAAATAAATTCATGTCTAGATAGTGCAGCGATGTTACTCTATGTTATGTAAAAATATTTAGATATGACAATTTATACTGTTTATTACTCGACCTATCCTTCCATAAAAAATATGAAAATATGTGCTAGAGCTCTATGTTCAACTGTCTAAAATGCGCAGGAGGATTGCCTTTGGGGTACCTCACATGCGACTGTTATAAGCTTACGCACTGCAAAATAAAGAATAAAAAATAAAAAAAACGAACAAACTACCGAACATAGTCAATAGTCTTACCCTGGAGCTTGCTCCCCTTGTTTGTGGGAACATTTCCACAGAACAGTGTCTTTCTAAGTGTTGTCGAACCGAAACAAAGGCAATCATGGAAGTCCAGCGGTGTTCAGGAGTTTTAGTATCCGTAAATAATTCCATGAACTTGACAAGCAAACACCGCTGCCTGTGTTCATGTGAACAAGATGGCCGCCACCTTGTGGTCGTCCATAGGAATTGTGGCCACCCAGATGAACACAACACTGAGGTGGAAATTGTTACAAAGTAGCAATTAGGCTTAACAAGCTCCAGTGTGGTCTCCGGTTCGTGCGGCTGTTCGGTACCCGAACCATATAGTCCAAATACACGAACGGAGACTTTTATAATACATTTTACAAAGTCCATAGTCTGTGGGAAGAAGGCTGTCAAGCAGGCTCCTTCAGGAACTTGTGGCAAGGGAGTTTGTCACACTGCTGTCTGTAGGAAATGCCTGGGGAACTGTAACGGAACTCCCCGTACTCCGACCGAGTACCTTCCGTTGATGGATGCTTCCTAGCTTGTGCTGAGGACCACAAGCACTGCACCGGACACCACAACTACCGCAGACTCCACAATCGCTGTAGCTTAACTGGAGTCTTCCTTCCACCCTGGAGCAGCTTCTGTCCTCCAGGACTGTGTTGGGAAAGACCTCTCCTCCAGGAGAACGTAACAGGAACAGCTCTTAAAAGAGCCAAGTGATTAAAGGTCAGGGGAGTAAGCAGAGCATAGCAATCCCCAGTGTGAATATAGCTGTCCCCTCCAATCACGAGACAAGACTACGTGTTGAGGGTCAAGAAGATCTGTTTACTTGGCACCAAAGGGCCTTCTTTTATGCAGGTTTTCCTTACATAGGACCACCCACAGGGTTTTACAGAACAACCAATAAGACCATTACAACACATACAATGAAATAAACCACTCCCATTCATCCCAGCAGAAATCCTCCCCTCTGCCTGTGATACAATTATCTCAACACAATAGACTAACTTAATTAGCACAGGCAGAAAATATACCGTTTTTACACATACACTGTAACTTTAAAACCACACATCCAATCTTATGAACATACTCAAAAATCATGCAAATCTTTCCATTAGTTCAAAAGTTAGCTGGAGGTCCCTTTGTGACCGACCGCAAGCAAATTTTCCTGCCCAAAACAGTTCCATAGATTTGGGCTGTGCGGTCGGTCTTTTTCAGGCAGAAAAACAGGACTTAGTCTCTGCGGCTTCAAACAGTGTAGGAGAAGGTAAGGGTCAGCGGTGTTCGTTGAAATGTGGAGCCGATTTCAGTCCCATGGATACCGCTGACCGCATTCGGCTTAAAAAAGGTGGCCGCCACCACGTGTTTGTTTGTCGAATGACGACCCCCCAGCGTTCGGCAATTTACCTACAGCAGGCACCCAGCCTGGGAGGTAAATTGCCTGCACACTTACACTTCTGGGTGTTCCGCCTGTGTGGTAAGGCCCATTTACTGAACCAGGTGTAAAGAAGCCATTAATAAAGTACCTTAACCAAGTCTGGGGACACTGGGGACACAGGCTTAAAGGGGCAGTGTCCCAAACACGTCTGGGGACACATTCTTAAAGGGGCATTGTCCCAATTTTCCCCATGTCCCAAGAATGTGCTTAAAGGGCCAGCACGAGTCCAATGAAAGTCTGTAAGCCCCAATAATGTTCTTAAAGCCCCAATAATGTTCTTACACCCCAGGGCCATAGTCGCAGGGCAGGAGGCTGGTAAGTGGCGAAGGGCACTTCATCACAGGAACCATTTCAAAAATCCTCTGCACTTAGCTGGGTTGCCCCCAAAATACTGAGGGAGAGTGGACAGACCCAGTCATTCCTCTAGCCGCAACAGATTCGGAGGCTACAACCGGTGCTAGAACAGGAAGTGAGGCTGGCCGGGTGCTGGATCCAGATGTGCAGTACGAATCAGGAGGGTCTGAAGTGCATGCACACACTGGTTCAAACGGTGGTTCTGCTGGTCCCACCGAGTAAATAGGTTAGGTATAGGTGGATTGCCTGTACCATCTGTATTCATGGCCCTTGCGTAATGTTAGGGACAAGGAACCAGACAGAGACAGAACTTAGATGCAAAACACCTTTATTATCAATAGCAAATAAAGCAATAAACCATAAGCAAAGTCCAGAAAGCAAGCAGGGGTCAGGCACCAAAGCGGGTAGTCAGACGAGCCAGGATCAGGAGAACGGAGAGCAGCGGAGTCAGGAACAAGGCCAGAAGTCAGGAACCAGGAACACACAGGAACCAGGAAGTGTTCTGGGAAACAGGAAACCACGCAGGGGCAAGCAGGTACTGGGACTTGCTGCTTAAATAGGCTGCACTGATTAGCAGCAGGACTGGTTACTACAATCAGGTGAGTAACCGTGGCAACATCAATGAAGGGGCTGATCGTTAAAAATGAGCTGAATACCTCAGATACAGAGAGAGGAAGGGTTGCTGTTTAAAACGGCAGAGAAACCCTGACAGTAATACAGCGATACATAGAAACATAGAAACATAGAATGTGACGGCAGATAAGAACCATTCGGCCCATCTAGTCTGCCCAATTTTCTAAATACTTTCATTAGTCCCTAGCCTTATCTTATAGTTAGGATAGCCTTATGCCTATCCCACGCATGCTTAAACTCCTTTACTGTGTTAACCCCTACCACTTCAGCTGGAAGGCTATTCCATGCATCCACTACCCTCTCAGTAAAGTAATACTTCCTGATATTATTTTTAAACCTTTGTCCCTCTAATTTAAGACTATGTCCTCTTGTTGTTGTAGTTTTTCTTCTGTGATGGGATTCCAGCATGGTCAAAATTTAGTAGGCCAAAATCTCCATGTGGCATATGTGTATGTTGTGTCAGTTGGCTAGCTACATGTAGCTAGGATACTGTCATCAGTGTACTGAGCATGTGCAGGAATGCAGGAACTGAAATTGCACTTATTTCCTTTGTCTTGGATGAGCCATGTGGTTTGACTAGATGTACAAGTCTATATTCTGCTCATTGATTGGTTAAAGGTATATGTGGGTGTAGCTATTAATGGGAGGAGTTATAGTGCTATATAGGGAATGTACACTATGTGTTGGTCTCTCAGAATGTTGGAACAGGAGTTCATCTGAGACCCGATCGGTAATGTGAATAAAGGCCTGTTACTTCCTGAAGACCTGTGTCCAATATTTCTGTGTTCGGCTTCTGCATGCTTACACTGCAACATTTCTGGTGCAATTGGGCCGGGAACCTCATCGCACGGAAGCTGGCACAGAGATTTGAGACGGTAAACTTTTACCAAACCTTCTACGCTACAATCCTGGACTTCTACTGCGTGGACCTCCTTTCGTCTCGGCGCCACTGGCCTTTTGTCCAGGAGATCATCGGCTTCTGCGCAGTGAGTCCCGGATTGTTCCGTCTATGAGTGAACCCAGGTCCTGAAATTAACAGGTGAGATTGATACCGTTAGAGCGGTAGACCCACAAGGGGTTTTATATTTGGAACCGGTTATTGGTATTGGCCCCTTCAGTAGAAGGAAGAAGTGAAAAGCGCAACACTTATCTGGAAATTAGACGCTCTGTAGTCAGCCCGTCTAATATAGGTGGTTTGGGTCAGACTGAGTTCTGGTGTAAATAGCTCATGTCGGACACCGGTGTCCTGTCTTGACTAGCGTATCTAGGGTGTAAATTTTGTTCGCTAGGTCGGGGGGACCGGGAGACTAGCATACTCTGTTGTATATTATAGTTTGCTAGATTTCACCCTATCTTAACTAAGTGTGCTCTGTTGTAAATCCAGCCACTAGCTTATTGATAGTTTAATAGACTAGCTGGGTACTGTGTAAATTCTGCCCTCTAGTTCGCTATACGTGGTGTCTGGGCAGCGAAGAACTTATCGAATCTCTGGTGTATAAATAGATCGAAAGCTCTCGAGGTGCTGGCCAGTTAGAATAGTTGGGATTATTGTAAATGTTGTTAAATATATTGTAGTTGGTGAATTGGTTAACTTGTATGTCCTACTAGAAAGTTAGAGCTCTGCTGTCTAGTGGGAGTGTAAATTGTGTGTATAACTGTAAAATAGCGCACGGTACCATAACTACTGACATGTACCATAACCACTGACATTGTGTAAAAATTACTAACAATTGCTGTTTTATGTTATATGTATAATACCATAACTGTTACTAACTGATCTGTGACTTTAAAACTGTATTATAACCACTTACTAACTGTACCATAACCACTGACTGTAAAGATGAGGTTACTAGAATGTGATATAGTTGGTTAGTCAAGAGTTGATTTATAGTACGGATAATTGTAGAGATGAATTTGTTGAAATGTTATGTGATCGGTTAGTTTATATGGATTAATAGCGTGGATAGTTGTATGGTTTGAATAATAGTTACATTGATAAGTGTATAGTCTTTGGTGGTTTTTTGATTTAATTTTGTGTGTGCGACGTCATGATATTGTTGAGCATGTGAGGATCCTGTGTGTGTGTTTGGGCCTAGTGACTGCGCAATGTGTTGCTGGTGATAAGGAGATTGGTGTGACTGTTGAAACTGTGTGTATATTTGTACAGCTTTTTGAATCAGATGCTCTGTTGAAATAATCTTCTGATTCACAAGGCTTTGTCTTGTATGTTTAAAAAAAAAAAAAAAGTAGGGAGTAGCCTGTCCTGGTGGCCGCATGGCCTCCATGTAGCAGTCTTCACTTAAATTTAGTGCAGGGTGTACATGTGGCTGTAACTAGTAGGCTGGAATTCTATGATCAGTTTCTATATATTGACTGTTGGAAACTGATTGTTGAAAAACTGCCTTGGTGAATTAAACTGTGTCATATGGGAAACAATGTAGCCATATGGTGGTCAGAACTAAGGACTTAATTACAACTGCTTTGGACATCCCCTCCCCCCTGGCATCTGATTACCAACCCCCCAAACATCCTCCAGAGCCAGATTAGCCACGCCCATTTCTGGCTGGTATAATCAGTATTTGCACTCCCCCTGCTCTACTGTCCCCGCCTACCCACATACCTATCTGTTCCTGTGTTTCAAACTCTTGTATTTCTGTACTACCCCTCCCCCTAATCAATGATCAATGGTATCAGATGGTATATTGGTTTTTTTAGTTACTGGATGGGCCCCTCCCAGCTTTGTCCAAAATGTCCCCTTTTACTAAACTACAAACTGAAATGTTTAATTTACCTTAGAACTAAAGATTTAATCAAGCCTAGCTAGCAGGGTGGACATTGATTAAAATAAGTAATAATAAAATAGGACATAATTAATTAAAGTCTATTTGTTTCATTTGACTTTAGGGAGGCACTCTAAGCCACCTACTGGCCATCTTCGGGAGTTACATTGATAATACATTGTTTATAACAGATAGATGTAGGATTGCTTACCCTATTTTAATATATTTATTGCTATAAGGTTTTATTTTATGTATAAATATATTAAAAGTTGAGTTTTCTTATTAGACCCATAAAGATTATTTTGATACAATTACCCTCTGGTGACACCTACTGGTAGGTTTTTGGTTTAACACTTTAAAAAAAAACGTTTTTTCATCCACCAAATGCTGACTAATAAAATTATCTTACTACTCCTAGACTGGAACCTATTATTGGGCAGCCTTGCCGAAGTCCCATATTAGACACTGCTTGAGTCAAATAGGTTGTATACTCCCTTTAATCCAGAGGCCCCTGAAAACTTCCGAATGATAGACTCAGCATTTGTCAGCCAGGCCCAAGGTGATAGTAAAAGGAAATTACAGAAATTAGAGGGATTTGTAGGGATGTCCATAATACAGCTAATGGAGATTGCAAATACAGTATATATGAATAGGGAGACGGAGGAAGAACGTAAAATGAGGAAAAAGGAAGATATGCTAGCGGTAGCTATCTTAAGTGTAGAAAGACAGGGAAGTGAATAGAGGAGACGAGAATAGGCTGAGCAAGGGACTTTAAGTAGGAATTAATGTGCGTATTGTAGAAAGGAGGGACATTGGAAGAGTGAGTGTCCACAGAGAGAGCAGTATGAAGGTGATCGACAAGGAGAGAGAGAAGGGTACGAGGAGGTTATAGTGGTAGTTATAGAGTAAGAGGAAGTTTTAGAGGGAATGATGGGAATAGTAGAGGAAGTGTTCAAGGAGACAGATACTATCCACCCACGCAGAGACCTAGAGAAAGAGAGGATAGAGATTTTGTGGGTCTGGCTGACACTATCATGGAAGACTATTGATACCGACTGGGCTCCATCCCACTTGGTCGAGCGGAGCCTATGGTCGATGTAGCAATAGGGGGAAAGAGAAGTTCTTTCATGATCGACACAGGTGCTGAACATTCTGTGGTGACTAAGATGGTGGCTCCGCCTTCGGGGAAGACTATAACTGTGATAGGAGCTACTGGGAGAAGTGCAGCTAGACCAGTTCTTAAGAGTCGCACTTGTATTCTGGGAGGCCATGTGGTGAAGCATTAGTTCCTATATATGCCAGAGTGTCCGATTCAACTTTTAGGATGAGATCTATTATCGAAGCTTTAAGCTCAGATAACCTTTTACCTAATGGATTAACATCTCTGAAGTTTAAGGGATTACCAGGCATAATGGTGATATCGGTGCCAAGGGAAGAAGAATGACGCTTCTATTCCATAGTGACAAGTGTTAACCCTAAGAGTGATGAATCCTTATTTGACATTCCAGGAGTATGGGAAGAAAATAATCCTCCAGGACTTGCTCGTAATATCCCACCAATACATATTGAGTTAAAGCTCGGGGTGTATCCTGTTAGCCTTTGTATGTTGTTCTTTTATCTACCCCAACAGCTGTAAAGGTGGCGGAAGTGACTCCTTGGATTCATCATTCTAAGGTTAAACCAGCAGCAGACTCTTGGCAAGCTACTCCAGATCCTGAGAATCCTTGCAGGACCCGGTTGAAGCGTGCAACTCAGTCGGAGTGACGAGGGGATATCGAGACATTCTAATTAAAAGTCTACAAAGATCATCAAGTAGGTGTTTTGACGGCCATAATAAAGCCTGACCACCTGCCTACGTGTCATAGCCAGAGTATCTTGAAGGGATCTCTGTGAAGGAAAGTGAGGATCAGAAGAACAACATCCTTGCAGCCCTCACAATCGGGAAGCTGAGAGGCCATCGCACGGTCGAAGAAAAATGAGGATTTCAGGAATAATGTGTTTTATTGTGTCTTAGTATTTTTATGATTTTTCAGGAAGGTAGGAGTACAGACATACCGAATTGCGATAGTTGCATTAAGACTACTAAAACAGGTAACCAAATATCCCAAACTCTCATCTGGCACTCACAGTATGAATGTAAGGGATCTGTATCTAAATGTAGATATTTGGATATTGATTATAGTGTGTGCAAGCCAATATCAGGAGAGTCTAAATGTTTTGATCCCCATTTCCAACCCCGTACAATTTGGTTGGTAATTCGGAATAGTAACTCCCAGGGGACATTAATAAATAGGACTGTGATAAGCACCATACATTCCACGGGTATTCTACTATTTGATGCATGTAAGGCGATTTCGGGTAGTGGAAGACTTTGGAATGTATGTGGTAATCTTAAATGGGAACGAACTTATGGGTTTAATGATAAATACTTATGTCCCAGTAAAAGATCTACTGATCCTGATTGCCCAAATAGAGACTAACTTCTGCCCCTATTTGTCATGTGTAGGTTGGGCAACCTGGGAAAAACAGTGGATCAAGATATGATTATCCAAAGGTTGCCTACCACACCATACTGTAAAACTATGTGTGTAACCCCGTTCACATGACCATTTCCAATCTGCAGTACTTTATTGACAGGTTTGGAGGTCTGTTTGGGTTTCAAATATATGGCACAGGAGTAGATCCAGGAACAATAATATATGTAGGTCTTGAAACTGAGACAGTGGCAACTCAAACTCATCAGGTTTCTCATTCCTTCTATGAGGAGATGAGTATTGAGGATAAAATTCCCCATAATGTTAACAACCTATTTATTGATTTGGCTGAGGGTATTGCAGGTAGTCTTAATGTAACTAATTGCTATGTGTGTGGAGGTACTAATATGGGAGGCCAGTGGCCATGGGAGGCAAAGGAAATATGGTACCCTGGCTCTGAGACATATGAACAACAGATACCTTTCCAGTCTGATCATCAAGTAAGTACTAGAAGTAAATCAGGAATGGCGGTTTAAAACCTCCATTATAGGTCATGTTTGTATAGCCAGGAAAGGGACAATGTATAACACGCCTGTAGGTGAGCTAACTTGCTTGGGACAAAAAGCCTATAATGTTAATACTAAAAATACTACTTGGTGGTCAGCTTCAAATGTCTCGGAACCTACTAATCTGTTTGCCAATTACACTCATTTAAAGGAGGTATGGTTTGACTTACCGGCTACATCTAGTTGGAAAGCCCCAGCAAATTTATACTGGATTTGTGGTAAGAAAACTTATTCGGAGTTACCACAAGATTGGGAAGGGGCATGTGTATTAGGTATGCCAAAGCCATCCTTCTTCTTGTTGCCAATCGAAACAGGAGAGACCTTGGGAGTTAAGGTTTGCGATGTAAATCATAAAAGGGAGAGAGCATCCTTGAATATAGGTAGCTGGGAAGATAATGAGTGGCCCCCTCAACGTATTATTAATTATTATGGACCTGCTACTTGGGCAGAAGATGGCACTTATGGATATAGAACTCAGATTATCTATGCTCAACCGCATTATTAGACTACAGGCGGTAGTTGAGATTATTACTAATGACACAGCTCAAGTGCTTAATCTTCTAGCTAAGCAAAATACCAAGATGTGATCAGCCATATACCAGAATAGGCTAGCCCTTGATTACTTACTAGCAGTAGAAGGAGGTGTATGCGGAAAGTTTAATCTAAGTAACTGTTGTCTGCACATAGATGATGAAGGGCAGGCAGTGGCTGAATTTACAAGCCACATGGTTAAATTTGAGCATGTACCTACTCAGGTCTGGAATGGGTATAACCTAAGTAGTTGGTTTGGAAGTTGGTATGAGCAGCTTGGAGGAATTAAGACATTAGTAGGAGGAGTAGAATTTATTATATTTTTTGTGCCTCCTCCTGCCCTGTCTAATTCCACTAGTGGTAAGGTCCCTACGTAGTATTATAGAGAGTACTAGAGAGAGAAAGACAGCGGCTCATGTAATGGCTGTCTGGAAGATATGATCCCCTAGCCCGAAGAGAATATATTCAGGATGAAGAATGCTGAAGGAGTTTTTAAGATGCTTACAAGGTCTACTCTGGTTCAATGGCTACTTGAGAGATGTAGGTAAAACTGTGATTGGTGATGCATCTGGAATAATGTTTTATCAGAGGCATCAAAAGGGGGGAATGTGATGGGATTCCAGCATGGTTAAAATTTAGTAGGCCAAAATCTCCATGTGGCATATGTGTATGTTGTGTCAGTTGGTTAGCTACATGTAGCTAGGATACTGTCATCAGTGTACTGAGCATGTGCAGGAATGCAGGAACTGAAATTGCACTTATTTCCTTTGTCTTGGATGGGCCATGTGGTTTGACTAGATGTACAAGTCTATATTCTGCTCATTGATTGGTTAAAGGTATATGTGGGTGTAGCTATTAATGGGAGGAGTTATAGTGCTATATAAGGAATGTACATTATGTGTTGGTCTCTCAGAATGTTGGAACAGGAGTTCATCTGAGACCCGATCGGTAATGTGAATAAAGGCCTGTTACTTCCTGAAGACCTGTGTCCAATATTTCTGTGTTTGGCTTCTGCATGCTTACACTGCAACACTTCTTTTAAATATTGTGACAGCTCTGTATTTCTCTAGCCCAGTTAATTTTTTCCTCCATTCGGTAGTTGAATCTACTGAACACCACCTGGCTCATTAAACTTCAAAGTAACCACAAGATTAAGTCCTCTCCCTGGACGGCCGCCATTAGTATAACCGAACAACACGTGTGCTAGAAAACGGCAGCCATCTTGTCTTCCGCAAGCAGGCAGCGGTACTTGGTCGTCAAGTGTCTGGAACTATAAGTCAGACACTCGACCTCGTGAACACCGGTGATTTGACACGAACACCTGCTTCTATTCTTGACAATCCAGGAGAGCGCTATTCGGTGAAAACGTACGCACGAACATGAGGAACAATCTCTACCTATGAGCCAGGGAAACCGTTCGGTATTTTGTTTGGTTTGGGACTCCCAAAAGTGACTGACCTACTACTTTTCTCATGGAACTATTTTGGGCAGATGCCACATGTGCGGTTGGTCAAAACTTTACCCGGTGGCGATTCGGCTGTATTCGTGGGATCTGACCGCTATTTAGACACGTTGGGCGCTCACATCCAGGCTATCAGGGGATACAGGATTTATATGGGCCCCTATTAATATTATGCATTTTAGGGTGTTTTATATTTTGTACCTCTAGTTCCTGGGAGATAATTAGTTTAAGCAAAGTACACTCAATTATCTCTCAGACACAGACTCCTGGTCTTGTTTTACAAAGTTTTTGCGGGAGTCCCCATGCTGGGGGTCTGTTTCTAAAAGTGGGCCATCTGTCCATAACAAAGGATTCCAGTTGTGCCCTTCATCAAGTCTTGACTGATGCTTGGGTATGCAAACAATGAAACGCTTGATTTTTCCCACAACCTGCTTGGATTTTGGGAGAGTATGAACTAGCGTACTATGAGAACTGGCTAAAATCACTCAAGCCGCTATTAGTGATGCACCGAACGGTTCGCCGGCGAACAGTTCCTGGCGAACATAGCGTGTTCGCGTCCGCCGCGGACGGCGAACACATGTGCGGTTCGATCCGCCCCCTATTCATCATCATTGAGTAAACTTTGACCCTGTACCTCACAGTCAGCAGACACATTCCAGCCAATTAGCAGCACACCCTCCCTAGCAGATCCTCCCACCTACTGGACAGCATCCATTTTAGATTCATTCTCAAGCTGCATGCTTAGTGAGAGGAGGGAAAGTGTAGCTGCTGTTGATTAGATATGGAAATGCATAGCTAGGTTAGGGTATACAGTGTCCACTACAGTCCTGAAGGACTCATCTGATCTCTGCTGTAAGGACAGCACCCCAAAAAGCCCTTTTTAGGGCTAGAACATCAGTCTGCTTCTTTTTTTTTTTTCTGTGTAATGTAATTGCAGTTAGTTGTCTGCCACTGCTGCCAGCTTCTGTGTCAGGCTCACAGTGGATACTGTGCCCAGTGCCACCACTCACTCACTGGTGTCACAATAGCTTGCATTTAAAACAAAAAACTTTTTTCACTGTTATAGATTGAATAGCAGTTAGTTGTCTGCCACTGCTGCCAGCTTCTGTGTCAGGCTCACAGTGGATACTGTGCCCATTTACCCAGTCAGTGCCACCACTCATATCTGGTGTCACAATAGCTTGCATTTAAAAACAAAAAACTTTTTTCACTGTTATAGATTGAATAGCAGTTAGTTGTCTTCAAGCTGGTGTGTCAGGCCTTCACAGTGGATACTACAGCTCAGTGCCACCACCACCACCGGTGTCAAAATAATAGCTTATCAAAACAAAAACTTTTTTCACTGTTATAGATTGTCAGCAGTCAGTGTCCTTAAAAGCTGGTGTGTCAGGCTCACAGTGGAGGTACGTGCCCAGTGCCACCACTCACCACTGGTGTCACAATAGCTTGTATTTAAAACAAAAAACTTTTTCACTGTTATAGATTGAATAGCAGTCAGTGTCCCAAAGCGGATTTGTCAGGCTCACAGTAGTGGATACTGGTGCCCAGTGCTACCTCTACTCACCTACTGGTGTCAGCTACTAGCTTGCATTTAAAACAAAAACTTTTTCACTGTTATTATAGATTGAATAGCAGTCAGTGTCCTTAAAAGCTGGTGTGTCAGGCTCACAGTGGATACTGTGCCGAGTGCCACCACTCACTCACTGGTACCCGGACGAAATTTATTTTCACAAAAGGCAATCCCCAACCTGTACTCGATTGTGCAAAAGGAAATAATGGCATGTCTGGCACACAGTGTTGGGGCAAGGGTCCATCTGACCACTGATACCTGGTCTGCAAAGCATGGTCAGGGCAGGTATATCACCTACACTGCGCATTGGGTAAACCTGCTGACGGCTGCCAAGCATGGAATGCGTGGCTCTGCAGAGGAGTTGGTGACACCGCCATGACTTGCAGGCAGGCCTGCTGCCACCTCCTCTACTCCTCCTACTCCATCCTCTTCCATAACCTCCTCGGCTGAGTCCTCTTCTGCTGCTGCGTCTTGCTCTACATCAACGGATAGGGGACGTAACAGGGATTAAATTGATAAGAATAGTACTACTTAACACACCACTCCTATCTGGTGGCACATTAGATTGCACGAGCAGTGCCCCAAATTTGTTGTGATCTGTGAGTAAGGTAAACGGTTGTCCATACAAGTAAGGTTGCAGCTTTTTGAGGGCCCACACCACCGCCAGGCACTCCTTTTCAATGGCAGTGTATCTACTTCCCTGGGCAAAAGTTTCCGGCTTAGATAAGCCCCGGGTTGCTCGCCGCCATCTGCTCCGACTTGGCTCAGTACTGCTCCCAATCCAAACATAGAAGCGTCTGTATGGACGAGAAAGTGTTTAGTTGGATCAGGAGCAGAAAGTACAGATGATTTAATGAGCGCCGTCTTGAGCTGTTGGAAGGCCTGTTCACACTCTGGGGCCCATACTACTATCTTGGGAGGTTTTTACGCGTTCCTATATGGCACTTACTGGGCTTTAGGGTTAGTCCGGCCTCCCTATTCCGGTCTAGTACGGCTCCTATGTGGGTCAGGTGTTCGGGCCAGGAGCAGCTAAAAATGGCTATATCATCCAAGTAGGCGCAGGCATACTCCTGAAACCCATCCAGTAGCCAATCTACCATCCTCTGAAAGTTAGCCGGGGCATTCTTCATCCCGAATGGCATGACCTTAAACTGATACAGGCCAAACGAGGTGACAAATGCCGACTTGTGGATGGCGTCCTCGGCTAATGGAATTTGCCAGTACCCCTTGCACAGATCTATTGTGGTGAGGTACTGGCCTCTGGCCATTTTGTCTAGGAGCTCGTCTATCCGGGGCATAGGGTAGGCGTCTGAGGTTGTTTTATCGTTTAGCCTCCGGTAGTCTACACAGAAACGGGTCGTGCCTCCCGTTTCGGTACTAGTACTACCGGGGAGGCCCAGGGGCTGTCAGAGTGTTCTATCACCCCTAACTGCATCATTTCCTCAATTTCTTTCTGAATATTTTCTTTAACTGCTTCGGGTATGCGATAGGCGGTTTGGCGAAGGGGGGTCTGGTCTAGGGTTTCAACTTTGTGAGTGGTTAACGGACTGTACCCAGGTAGGTTGGAAAACGTGGCCCCCTTGTCCTGGATTAGTCTTTGGACCTGGGTTCGCTCCTGGGGGTCTAACCGTTCTCCTAACTGTACTTCTCCCAGGTCTCCGCTCTGGCCCTCTAGGTCTAGGAGATCTGGGAGTGGCAAATTATCATAATCTTCAGTGGCAGGTGCACAGATCACGGTTACCTCTTCCGTGCGCTCGTGGCATGGCTTGAGCATGTTCACATGGAGCATGCGCTTGCCTCCCGTGCCTGTGACCGCACCGATCACAAAGGTGGTATCACAAACCTGCTCTACCACCTTGTATGGGCCCTGCCAGGAAGCCTGCAGCTTGTCCTTGTGGACAGGTGTCAATCCATATCTGCCAAGTGACCCTATGTAGGAGGAACAGTCTCTATTCTGCTCTGTGTCATTGTGTATCAGGGACTCTGAGGACAGGTGTCAATCCATATCTGCCAAGTGACCCCATGTAGGAGAACAGTCTCTATTCTGCTCTGTGTCAGTGTGTATCATGGTCTCTGAGGACAGGTGTCAATCCATATCTGCCAAGTGACCCTATGTAGGGTAACAGTCCCTATTCTGATCTGTGTCAGTGTGTATCAGGGGCTCTGAGGACAGGTGTCAATCCATATATGCCAAGTGACCCTATGTAGGAGGAACAGTCCCTATTCTGCTCTGTGTCAGTGTGTATCAGGGATCCTTAGGACAGGTGTCAA